AATGTGAATTTTGGGGGCGCCTGGGTGGCGCAGTCGGTTAAGCGTCCGACTTCAGCCAGGTCACGATCTCGCGGTCCGTGAGTTCGAGCCCCGCGTCGGGCTCTGGGCTGATGGCTGGGAGCCTGGAGCCTGTTTCCGAGTCTGTGTCTCCCTCTCTCTCTGCCCCTCCCCCGTTCATGCTCTGTCTCTCTCTGTCCCAAAAATAAATAAACGTTGAAAAAAAAAATTAAAAAAAAATGTGAATTTTAATTTATCCTAACTTCCGGTTTCCTTAGAAGGCTGGTATTAAGCCCTCATCTACATGTTTGAGCTTTCCTTTTCAAATTCTCAATTACAGAATACTAGCGGGGGCAGGGGGCCTTTTTTTTTTTTTTTTTTTTTTAAATAGGAAAAGGACATTCCAAGGATGGCAGGATGTCCCGTGGTCACACAGCCGGTTTCCAGCAGAGTCGCGACATTAGGTCACATGGTCGTCATCCACTGACTTCACATTCTTCCAAAGGGTAGACCCTGAAGTCCCCATCTTACAGATGGGCAAACTGGGCCAGAGCCAGTGCCGGACCACAGATGACTCATCTCTCAGCTGAAATCGGTCTTCATGAGTCCAAGCTGGCTCTAGGGTTAAGCTTCTGCCAGCTCCAAGTGTTTTTTTTTTTTTTTTCTCTTTCATGTTGCTCTCAAATATATTTCTATCCTCGTCAGACCATCCCCCTTGTTCCCATTTAACCTGAGAAAGTTAAACCCACTTTTGATCATCATGTGAAAATCTGAAGCAAAGTGCTTCCTTCAAGGCAGATGTTTGGAAATGCTGAGCTGCAGGCGTTCAACTTGTCAAGTAACTTTTCAAATGATGAAAAAAGGGGGAAATGTAGGTCAGAAAGCAATAAACTATATTCACATCCAATATATCGTTCTGGTTAAGGAGCTGACTTTGAATCTCCACCTTTTACTAAAATGAAACAAAAATCCAAATCCAACCCAAAGCATTACAGCTTTAAGTACTGAAAGTATTTATTATTTCTAGTCAAGTAATCCAAAAACATAATCTCAAGAACATCTATGCTCCAGGAATGTCTCAAAACGCCATGGATTTGATGTGATTCCTTTATCCAGATGTTTGTAGAAAAGACTCTGGATGGCATGAGGGGAATTAAAGGTTTATTTTTAATATTTGAGAAAAGTCATATTTCTAATAACAGTGAGCCTTAAAATGTGTCCTCAATCTTTGCTGCCTCTCTCATCTTTCTCATTATTATTTCCTCAAGTAAGAGCTCTCTCCTTCCAAATTATCAGTCTAGAGTTTTCCACACATTAGTATTTAGATATTAGAAGAACAAGGTCATTGAGGTGCCTCCACTATGACTTTGACATTTACATCAACTTCATTTCAAGAGACAGTTTTCACCCACTGGGTACGTTAGAGCCAAGTCCTACAAAAAAATCACTTTTCATGGGGCTAGATCTCCAATAAACTGCCTGAGTCTTGCCCTCTTGCAGTATAGCGTGACTTGCCTTTGAGGACGATGATATGTTTCCCAAGTGTCCCTGAAATCTAGAATCATGGCACCAGAGACCCCAACAGTTGCTGTATCCGTCCTGTGTCCAGACATCTGACAATAAAGTGGCTGGGAGTCGTGAGCTTTTTGTTATTTGAAGGCATCTCCCTCACCCATTATCCTCTTACCCGTAGAGAAGGATATTCTAAAACGTGTTAGATTGTATGAGTTGACTGAGTTTACCTGCTGGAGAAGATACATTTCAGGTTCTGGTGGCAGAGAGAAATTTAAAATTAGGTCACCTCATGGTTACAAGTTGTATCTATAACAGAAACTAAAAGGTCTCGGAGATCATACGCGGTCTTTGGTTGGGAGCCCAAAAGGGGCCTACTGTGAAACATTCTTTAATTGGTTTGTTACATTCAAAATAAAAAAATATATACTGAATATCTCTGTGGAAACTGAAGTTTTGATATAAAGTAATACAGCTAGGTTAAAATCCGAAATCTGAGCTCCAAAATCAGTCCCTGGAATACTGCCGTGTGTGTGTGTGTGTGTGTGTGTGTGTGTGTGTGTGTGTTGGGGATGCCAACCTGTGTGTTGTGATTTTAGGGAAACACAATAGTCCTCTCTAGCTTCCAAACCTTTCATTTAGTTTACTGTTTCTTGAAACTTGGTGCATTAGAATTCAGTCTCTTGTTTTAAGATTTGGAGACTTCTGTAACACAAATACTTCTTTTCCCTTTGGCTAACATTCATATGGTGCTTACTTCCTGCTAGGTACTCTTCTAAGGCTTTATGAGGAGTAATTTACTGAATCCTCTCAGGAACCTTCTGACTTAAGTGAGAATGTTGTCCCCATTTTGCAGATGAGGATGTCAGAAGCCCCAGGGTCATGTGTGAAATCAGGAAGTCTGACTCCTGGCTTTCTTTCTGCACCATGCCGCCTCGTTGGCCCCTTGGTCTGCATGCTTCGGGAGGCTTCCTCCTTAGGGAAAGGCCGGGAGGATGAATGGAGTTACATCTTACAGAAGAGGGTAGCACTGGGGGGAAACAGGTGCACCAAGTACACTGGGGAGGAAGGGAAGCCTAAAAGAGAGCAAAAAGAACAAAAGGGAGGGTGTGAATAATGAGGACAAAGTCTGCCTATGTCTTCATTATGGCAGCAGCTGAGAGAAAATTGTCACAGTGGATGCTCTTGCAACTGCAGGCAGGACCCTTAATTATGGAGTTCAATCCCTCATTTTACAGCCAAGGAAAACTGAGGCTGGGAGAACAGACTTAGGACAAGGGAAAAGAAAGTACTGAGACTTCACAGCCGCTTAGTGGCAAAACCAGGACTGGGGCGCCATTGCCCTGATTCTAGATCCGGGGACCTCTCCTCTGAAAGTAGCCTTGTGGGAAAAAAAAAATAAAAAATAAAAATAAAAAAATAAAAAAATAAAAAAAAAGAAAGTAGCCTTGTGGGCTCCTTGTGGGCTCCAAATCACTGAGGGAGCGGGAGGAAGCTCAGTGCAAAGAAGCCTTCTTCTGTCTGTGGTTCTTCTCATGAAATGTTTGCTCCCCGGGTGGCATCTGGGTAGACAATGACTCATGGAGGAGAATTTTTGTCCTACGTCTACAAGGATTATTTCCCTGCGGACACATTTCCTGGGAGCACCCTCTTCTCTCCCTCGTGTTACTTTTCGGGAGCGGGCGATGTAGCTGAGACTGGAAGCAGAGTTCATTGTCACTATGCCATTTCATGAAGACGCCCCTGCATTTCTGAGGAGCATCGGAGGGGCCAGGTAAAGGCACAGGGGCTGAGGTGAGGGAAGAAACAGAGAACACGGTTGGAAATGAAAAGTATTCAAATATAAATTAATATAAACCCAGGGGTCATCTTGCATGCAGTCCTGGCAATAAGAGAATCCACAATGTGGATGAACAAGTTAAAAAAGAGTAATCAAAGGTAAGAAAGAGGCGTATGTGAGGCATTAAGCATCAGGTACAGAGGCGGCCGGGGAGGATTACCGAACAAAGTCCAGAGAGTGTAAAAAAAGATAAGAAAGGCAAAGGGAGCGAATGAAAAAGATTGCACTGAAGGTTAAGAGAAATCATGGGAAAATTTCCCTAGTGCGTAAGGAACACAGGGGTCATTGAGCTAGACAGCTGGGTGGCGAAGACACGGGGAAGGGTAATTTATTGAAAGGAAAAAAAAAGCGGTAGAGGTGACTAAAAAGGTTTAAATAAATTTTTTGCCCTGGAACTTTCAGGAGGATGGGGAACAAACGCTGGAAACTGACATACATTTTCTAGGGGAAACCAAAGAAAGATCGAAGACTAGCGAGAAAATGTCACTTGGACAGATTCAGAAATGAAGCACGGAGAATGGAAAGAACCATTAGAGGCTTCGGTCCAAGGAAGAACATACACTATCACACCTGAATAATAAGTAACAGGAACGTAAGAAGGGAGAGTTTGAAAAGCAAAAGGTTTTTTTTTTTTTTTTTTTTTTTTTTTTGTGGGGGGGGGGGGAATCCCATCAGCAAATGGTCAGTGATGGCTCCTAGCTGTCTTACATCATTAGACCCACCTCATATTTGAGTCCTCTCTCTTCTCCTTACCTATGTTCCTTCCATATATATTGGAATATATGTGGAATATATATATTGGAATTCCATATATATTGGAATATATATAACTTTCATAGATATTGAAGATTTGCTACATGCTCGGCATCATGCTTTCTATTTGGGGAGGTGCGTAGACGAATAAGATGTCTGTGGTCCCTGCCTCAGGGAGTGTACATTTCAGCGGAGTGGACACGCTCAGTGTGCAGCTGTAGGATGTAGCCAGAAGCCACGGAACTATGGGTGGTCATTTTGGGTAGGAAAAGAGAGCTGGGTGGTCATTTTGGATTGAGGCCATCAAATTCCACCTGAAGGAGGAAATGAATCACATTAATCCTTCTTAGAATCACAGTAAAGAATAATGGCCCCAGAGTATTGGGTTTTGTTTAGTTTTGTATAGAGTTGAAAGGTTTCGCATGAAGTCAGGTGCTGGCAGTAAGGGTTATCCGGGGGTAGGTATTCGAGGAGCCCCTTCCATCACATTATATGCGGTAATTTCTGCAAAAGCTTGGGGAATCCATTCCTGGCTGAGGCTGTATGAGTGATGACCGTGTCGCTGAACCTGGGGACTAGAGCAGGGGTGAGTGTTCGACCCACAGGGAAAAGGTATAGGGGCTGAGCTGGGCATACTCGTCTAGGGGACCCCCGGTCCCCCACACAGAGTGAGGGAAGCCCCGGCGGGAGCTGAAGAGCACAGAAGTGTCTGAGGCAGGAACAAAGGCGGTCAGGAAGGACAATAAAACTCTAAGCGGTCCACCAGGAGAGATGGGTAATTTGATTATCCAATTCAGTGTAGTGACAAAGAAGGTAACGAGACTAGGGACAAGAAATTCAGAGGTCAAACAGACCCTCCACGGCCACAGGCAGTAGACTTGAGAGGAGGAATCCGAGGGCAGAGGAAGATAAAATTTTAACGCCTTTGGCACCAGGATCTGGAGCAAGCAAAGAAATCAAACGTTATTCTGGATTGCATAAATAGAGGGACTGTGAAGAAGTCAAAGGCGATTAACTCAGCGATAAAAGGGAATGGTGGTGTTTGACCAAGGAAACTGGGGGAGATACCTGCTAGGATGTCTCCATTCCCTGTCTCTTTCCACCCAGCTCTTCTCGTTGCTTGTGTTCACATTTCACCTTGACTTTGGTTCTGTATGTTGTTGCTGGCCCTACGCGGCGAGAACAAAGGTGCATTAGTAACAGTCGTTTATCCAGATGATATTCTTATAGACAAGTAGGACTGGATGGGAGTGGGATGTGGGGAAACATAACATTTTCGTCCTCCTCCAAGCTTTGCTAGGGTCGAGGTGCCCTATGCTGTCTGAGAATCCTTCCTTTAGACCCCATTCCAACAATACAAAATACAGATTCAAAAAACCAATTAGTCATTTCTGCTTCTCCGACTGTCTTCTATGACTACGAGGTACCAAAGAATATTCTCTCAGAAAGAAATGAGTTATAATCGGGTACAATTATTATATTACTAGTGGTCGGAAGGAAAGTTGCTACAATCTTTAAATTCGAACAGAAACAGATCACATTACTGATTTAAGAATCTTGCTTCCTTTGGGGGGTGGGGGGTTAACTTCTCACTGACACAAATGTTCTGTTCAAGTTTCCGTCTGTTACAATGAAGCTTTCTCAACGTTTATTCTCCAGACGGTTATTACCTGTGACTATGTCAGAGGCACATAAATGCCTGTAAAGGCGTATCGTCCACAACATCTCTCAGAAATAAATACCTTCGGATACCTTGGAGTCTATCAAGTTTTAAAAAAGAAAGCGATAGGGAAAGGGGAAGTAGTTTATCTGACTTCAGGGAAACTATCTCCTCCATCCCTTGTTTACACCTGATAATATGTCCACCAATTAAGCATTTAACTGATTTCTTTAAGGTCAGGTTGCAAAGGGGTCAATTCAAGTTGGGGCGTCAGGGACAATTTCACATGGGAAATCCACTTTATTCCTACAGCAGGTGTGTGTCTTGGGTCAAAGAACAAGCTTCTCAGGTGTGGTGGCCCCCATGTGCTCTCGGGGAGATCCGAGGTCACTGGTTTAATATTAGCTCCCGGTGCCTCAGCCTGGTTACAAGGGTCCCTAAAGCTACCCTCTGTCTGGGAGGCGAGTTTGTTTTGAAATGGTTGACTGTATAAGGGACAGGCAAAGATAATTCATTTCGTTGGGGGGACTGGGAGAGGAAACGGGAAAGGGAATGAAGTTCAAACGTAAGCCAGTGTCTCTAGAGAATGTGAAAAATGTCAAGTGCCAGGTTCTGAAGCCTTAGGGGATTTTGATGTCAGTGAGCTCATTTTGGACCCTCCTCTCCCTCACCCGCCCAAGGCCTCTGGGCACATGTCTGGAATGCGGAAGGGAAGAAAGTGATCTTCACCTACGAGGGCAGCCCCAGGATTTCCATTTAGAAAAACGCGACCCATTTGGAAACAAAACAAAACAAAAGCAGTCATTGCTCACTGACTCAATTTAATTAATCACACATTTATCGAGTACCTACTGTGGGCAAAGCCAAGCCGCAAAGAAGATTGTAAGTGGCTCATTTCTTTCTAGATGTGTATTTATGTATTTATTTTGAGAGAGACAGAGCACGCATGGGGGAGGGGCAGAGAGAGAAAGAAAAAGAATCCCAAGCAGACCCCTGCTGTCAGCAGGAAGCCAGACCGGAGGCTGGATCCCATCAACGGGGAGATCAGACCCGAGCCAAAATCAAGTCGGTAGCTCAACCGACTGAGCCACCCAGGTGACCCTCAGCGGTTCATTTGAAGCAGCTTAGGAAGCCTGTTGCCTATACAAATAACACAAACGCTTAGAAGGCTGGCATCGTGACTATAGTAGAAGAGACGGGATGAAGAATCATGTCCTCTGATTGTGGTTTATGTATCCCTTTGTTCACACTTCCTTCTGTGGCCCGGAGAAATCAGGGGGTAGCCGTGCAGGCCGGCCTCCCCTTCCCCCACAGCGTGCACAGTCGGGCGCTGCACTAACAGGGTCTGGAGAAATCGTTCTCATCGATTACGGTCATGCGGCATATTTACCCATTGTGCCAATTAGCAGCCTGTAAGTCCTGCGGCAAGATTTCAGAGGTCATTCTGCCTTTAGAAACCAACTCTGAGCAGCCAGGCTCCATTCTGTCAGTTTGAACCTTGAGGGCTGTCCTCCCAGCCTTCTCTGGGAGCCTCTTCTAGTCTGGAACATTTTCATCTGAAGGAAAATGCTTTAAGGTACGGCCGAAGTCGCTCCGACGACTGGTTAATCTTGTCCCCGCTTCCAGATCCCAGAGCTGAGGCCACCCCCCTCTCTTTACCCTGGCAAATGGGAACTCCCTTCCCCGACATGCAGCCTTTTTGAAATTACAAATAAGTCGATAACTACAGGACTGACCCAATTACTGGCGCGTGAACTGGGTGAGCTGGAGCCATGTCCTCGTCTGGAAACCCGGGGCCAGTGTCAAGGAGGCCGATGTGATGGCAGGATCTCAGGTACTGGGAAATGAAAAGCAATCGACTCGGCCCAGATCTGGAAGTCGGCGGAGTGGAACGGCCTGGGCGAGCCTCCTTGTCATGCCTCCAATGGCCCTTTTCACAGTGTGAGCAGACCTTACAAAGAGGCAGTGACCTCGCCTTTCAGATGACTAGCAGCTCACCGTGATAACCAAGCCCGCGGGGATTTCTTTGCAGTGATGTATGGTAAAGGTCAGCCTGAATCCGGAAGGAGCCTGAAATGGAGGAGGAGTTTAAGAAATGCACTTTTACTACCTATGAGGGCAGATGATAGCTCAAGCACCCGGACCGGGTCTTGTTGAGGAGCCAAAGGATCCTCTTTAACGAAACGACCAAGAGGGATTCAGAAAGAACATCGCCTCCGCCATTTTACGTGAACGATGCTCTTCAGGATGTGGGAGAATAACATGAAAACGTTTGACTCTCTCAAATGTGGTAGCTGCCCCCCTGAAATATTTAAACGTGCCATGTGTCCTGGTTTATGAAGCATGAGTTGGCTTAAATGAAGGTAAAGTTGTGCCTAGCCAGTTAGAAGAGTCACAAATTCTAAATTCGTGGAGCTGGAATTAGTGTGATACCACTGTTTTCATGTTAAGAGTCTAACTATATCTGTATTCGTAAAACCCTGAAATATAGATCCGACCGAATTCATGTTCATGTGATTGGAACTGGACTGAAATTTTGAAGAAAGCACTTACCATATCCATCTCCAGGGTGAAGTTAAACGCAGGAAGAACCCGGTGTTTTCAGGGCCTTTCATTCCCTTCCTTCCTTGTCAACATAAGAAATAGATCCACCATCTGACTTTGGGATTACTGGTATGGCTTCCTTTTTCCCAGGCACACGGGCTAGACACCCAAGAACCACCTTTTTTTTAAAAAAAATTTTTTTTAATGTTTTTATTTATTTTTGAGACAGAGAGAGACAGAACATGAGCAGGGGAGGGGCAGAGAGAGAGGAAGACACAGAATCTGAAGCAGGCTCCGGGCTCTGACCTATCAGCACAGAGCCCGACACGGGGCTCGAACTCACAGACTGTGAGATCATGACCTGAGCTGAAGTCAGACGCCTAACTGACTGAGCCACTCAGGCACCCCGAGAACCACCTTTTTTGATCACCCCTGCTCACACACCTACATGACAACTCCTGTCTGTTCCTGTGATGAGTATCTTATCAGATCCTTTCCCTCCATCTTCTTGGAGCCTTCCTTACCTCCTGCCTGGTCTATTCTCACAGATTATTGATATCTCCTTGCTCTCTGTTTCTGTTTCCTCTGATTCATTCTACTCACTGTCAACTAATTAACTTTCCTACGGCATGACTTTGATCATATCTCTTCTGCTTATAAATGTTCAGTGGTTCAAGATTACCTACCAAATACAGCACACATTTCTCGGCCTGGAGACTCTACTGGTCCAAACATCCTTCTTGCTCCCTTTAAGTGCCCTAAACTCCGGCCAAGCCGGCCTGCTTGCCCATGTGCAAGCTCACTGTGCCATTTTCTGTTCTAGCCCTTTGCTAATGATCTGCCCACCTCTGTTTTTGTCCCCCATCCCCAAAGCTTTCCTCTTAAATCCAATCCAAGTTCATTCATTCATTCATTCATTCATTCATTCATTCATTCATTTCTCCCCCATCCCCAAAGCTTTCCTTTTAAATCCAATACAAATTCATTCATTCATTCATTCATTCATTCATTCGGTTCTTTTAGCAAACTTTTACCAAGTACATGCTAAATGTTGGGCGCAGCCTCTGAAAAAAGCATCCCCTGATTTCCCCAGCTGGAAGCAGCCTGCTCCCCTCTCACTGATACTTTGGTGTTTTCTACTACTCTGGGAAAAATTTCTCCCAGGCAGCAAGTCAGGTCCCGGCTCTGCCTTCTGGACTGTTTACATCTCTGTTCCCCCATCTGTGAACTTATAGTTCCTCCCTCATGGGGTAGTCGGGTTGTTGTGGGGATTAAATGTGATATGTTACTGTCCTTACTATTATTATTTATTGTGTTATTATATCTCATTTCGTTCTCCTTGAGACAAGGGTTGGGACTCTCTGGAACCTTGCAGGGGGTCTTTGCCTTCATCTTTTAATCAGTTTTATTTACTTGCAAGACACAGAGCTCTTCTCTGTTACCTCAGGAGAAGAGGGTTGATTATAAGTGTCTAGACTGGAAGTGAAGCCTCATCACATTCCAGAGGTAGCTCTTGTTCTCCATGTGTCAACTCCTCTCTCTACATCCATTTTGTTCTCTCTTCCTCACTAATGGCTTCTGCAGCTGACTTAGAGTCAGGACCTATTCATAATTTGGTAGGTCCGTTGCAAAATAAATGAGGGGTCCCTTGTTTAAAACGGAGGAAAAAATGCAAACTAAAACGTAACACTTCTTTCTTCAGCGGCCCTTTGTCTCTCTTCTCTCTTTCTGTCTCCACCTCCTTGGTGTTTTATATTTGCTATTTAACACCACCTTCCCCAGGCACGGAGACACTGGCAGGGCAGTGCAGACTCTCCTGGTGCCTAGGGGCCCAAGTCTGAAACTTGGCACCCACGGCTGGGTTCCCCTTCCCTGCCCTCCACCAGATGAGCACCACGCTTAAGGGAGGAGTGGAGAAGTTGAGCCAGGCATCACCCCTTCCCACAAGTCCACTGCCCCAACCCAAGGCAGACGGCCATCCCCAACGCCCAATCTCTGCGGGTGATGATGCACTAAGTACCTGGATTAGGGGAGGCTGAGAGATTGCTCCACTGAATCACCTGCCAAATGAACCATGGTGTGCCAACCTTTCCAGATGCCACAGGGCACAGGGGTCCAGCACTCCCCGGCCCAGACTCGGCTCCCTGCTGGGCAGTGTGGGGAGGAGGAAGGAAGGAGAAGGTGGGACGGAGGGGGGAGCCGGTCTGAGAACTCAGGGCTGGGACGCAGCCTCGGGAAGCCGAGCGCCTGGTCCATGTTCCATTGTCCCATCCACTTCACCAACAAAACCCGAACTCAAAAAAAATAAAACTCAGCACTAAATCCAAGCATGGGGCCCTCTTGGACCACTGGCTGCCTATCCATGAAGCTGGCCCTTTTCGGAGTTTAAAGGGGTCAACATACATACGGAAGAGCATAGTTCTATCTGACGACTCTTGGGGTTGCACCTTCTACCGCAAGCTGGTTTATTCTTTCAGTTTCCCAAAATTAATTTGCCGAAATAGAAATCTGACTGGCCCCACTGTTTCTCTTTATTCTTTTTTTAAAAAATAAATCACATAAGAACACCTGGGTGGCTCAGTTGGTTAAGGGTCTGCCTTTGGCTGAGGTCATTGTCTCATAGCTAGTGGGTTAGTGAGTTCAAGCCCCACATTGGGCTCTGGGGCTGTCCCACAGAACCTGTTTCAGATCCTCTGCCCCCTCCCCGCCCCCCCCCCCCCCCGTCCTCCCCGACTTCTGCCAGGGGAGGGGGTGTCTCTCTCTCAAAAATAAATTAAAAATAAATAAATAAGTCACATAGGTCATTGGTTGCTGTCCAGCCAATGGGTTGGCTGCTTTTGGGTCAGGTGTCCATTCGGGTCCAATCATTTGGAGCTTTAGTGGACACAGCCGCTCAGCATAAAATGTGGACTCCTGGGATGCCCCCTCGTGGAGCTGCGGAAAGCAAGTCATGATTAAATCGTTAGTTTGGAGTTCATCAAATATGTTGAATTTT